TTTGGAAAAGATCCCCATCCCAGAGGAAATGGGAAGTTTTCAAACCCCAAACCACCATGACTCCAAGAACACCTGGTTGCTTTAATGTGGAAAGGAGGAACACCGTGCAGCAGAATGCCATTCCAAAACCCCTGCCAGAAAGCCAGATCACCCATCAGGTGGGAAACCTGGAACATCCAACCCTCGAGGAAAGGAGACTGGCCTGAGAAGCCGAGTAGCTGTGGGATTCCGATCCCCCGCAACCCAGAGGAAGAATCCCCAACACTCCGAGGGGACCTGAGCCAGTCTGAAAGCAATCCGGAAGACGACCCGCTGGTAAGCAACCCAATTGAACCAATCACTGTTTATCCCAAGCCGAGGGAAGGAGGAGGAAGTTGCAGCGTTGCTGGATTCGGGATGCATCCGATGCCTAATCAACCCCTCCCTTGCAGAGAAATTGGGGGTCCAACTGGAAGAAACGGAAAATCCCATCGCTTTCTGCCAATTAGATGTAACTATGGCGGGGGGAGAGCCAGCTAGGTTTACCACAGAACCATTGAAAATAAGACTAGGGAACCATAGTGAGATGCTCATATTCATTGTAGCCCCAGGAATGAAAGAGCTGCTAGTCCTAGGTCTCACATGGCTGTGGAAATGGAATCCAAAAATACATTGGAGGAGAGGAACCGTACAATTCCAGATAGACGTAGTATTTGCAAATAGCTCAGAGGAAAGGATAAAGAAAGGAACAGAGAACAGAGAGTCAGCCATGACCAAACAGTCGGCTGAACCCATTAACTGCCCCAACGAGTACCTGGATCTAGCCCAAGCATTTAGCGAGGAAGCTTGTGATGAACTCCCACCCCATTGAGCCACAGACTGCGCTATCGAAATACTACCAGGGGCTAAACTCCCAAAACTACAAATGTACTGCATGTCTCCCAGAGAACTAAAAAAACTCAGAGCATTTATTGATAAAAATCTAAAAAGGGGTTTCATCAAACCAACCAGACCAAAAATAGCTGCCCCAGTATTATTCCATGAAAAGAAAGATGGCTCCGTGCGTCTGTGCGTGAATTACAAAAAGTTAAACGCAATTTGCATTGAGAATATGTATCCACTCCCCCTCATGAAGGACATGTTAGCCCACCTCTTGAAAGGAAAAAAAAATCAAAGTTAGACCTACGAGAGGCATATTACTGCATCAGAATAAAGGAAGGGGATGAGTGGAAGACAGCTTTTAATATCCCACTGGGATGCTACCAATTTAAAGTGCTCCCTTTTGGACTGCAAGGAGCACCTGCCGCGTTTATGCAATTGATCAATGAAACCCTTCATGAATTTTTATATAAAGGGGTTCTAGTTTATCTTGATGATATTTTAATCTACACAGAAACGATGGAAGAACACATCAAGCTACTCCGTGCAGTCCTCACAAAACTCTTAGACGCTAAACTATATGAAAAATTCTCTAAATGTAAATTCCACCAAGAAAAAATTGACTACTTGGGGTATAGAATATAAAACGAGGGAATAGAGATGGACCCTCAGAAAGTAAAAACTGTTATCGATTGGGAACCACCACATACCCGCAAGCAACTGCAAAGCTTCCTGGGGTTTGTGAACTTATATCGCCAGTTCATCCCAGCTTTTGCAAACATCGCCCTCCACATCATGAACCTGCTAAAAATGAAGGGGGGGGGAGAAATCCAAACCAAGGCAACCCCTTATCTGGACAATGGAATGCCAAGCGGCATTCAAAAAACTCAAACGTCTATTCTCAGCAGAACCAGTCCTTAAGCACCCAGACCCCGAACAACCTTTTGACATCCAAGCAGACGCTAGTGATGTTGCAGTTGAAGCAGTCCTCCTCCAAAAGAATGGAAATGGACAATTATAACCATGCGCTTATACATCCAAGAAACTGATGGAAACCGAGCAAAGATGGGCCATATGGGAGAAAGAGGCATATGCTGTGTGATGGGCACTCCTCACATGGAGACATTTCCTGGAAGGAAACCAAATCCCCTTTGAAGTATGGACTGATCATAAAAACCTGGAAGCCCTGAGAAATCCATGAAAACTCTCCAAAAAACAAGGAAGGTGGGCTCAATATTTTAAACGGTTTAATTTCACTCTCAAATATTTTCCTGGGAGAAAGAACTTATTAGCAGATGCCCTGTCCAGAAAACCCCAATACAACAGCAAAAAGATTGAGGTTATAAAACCAATGATCCAACCGACCCAATTTGCAGCCAAAGTAATCACCTGGGCACAAGAGAAAAAGAAATCATCACTGACTGAAGACACAACGATGTCAATATTTAAGGAGGCACTACTTAAGGACAACTGGCTCCAGGCTAACAAAAACACTTGCTTACTCAAAGATGGTCTGGCCTGGGTAGGAAACAAACTGTATGTCCCTGCAAGCCAGAGGATGGACCTCATGAAATGCTGCCATGACTCAAAAATAGCAGGGCACTTTGGGTTTGTAAAAACCCTGCACCTCATCAAAAGACAATTTTGGTGGCCGTCTCTCAAAATGGACATTGAAAACTATGTTGTGAGCTGCCCCACCTGTGCTGCTGCAAAGAAAAGACAAGGAAAATCTCCAGGTCTTTTACAGACAGTAGCAGACCCTTCTGCACCCTGGAAAGAGATCTCTATGGACTTTATAGTGGAACTCCCTGAAAGTGCTGGAAATACTGTCATTTGGGTTGTAACTGATCTCTTTTCCAAACATGTTCACTTTATTCCATGCCAAAAGATCCCAACTGCCAAGGCCTTGGCAAAGATGTTTCTAATACACATTTATCGCCTTCATGGAGCTCCCCAACGGATTATTTCAGATAGGGGCGTCCAGTTCACATCCATATTTTGGCGGGCGTTTTTAAACCCATTAGGCTCCACCCAGGGGTTGTTGTCATCAAATCATCCCCAGACGGATGGATCGATAGAGAGAATTAACAGCATATTAGAACAATATTTAAGATGCTTTATTAATTATCAACAGGACAATTGGACTGACCTTCTTCCTTTTGCAGAGGTAGCATACAATAACTCAGTCCACAGCAGCATGAGTTTCACCCCGTTCCAGGTAGCCATGGGCCAAGAATTCAACCCCATGCCAGAACTACCTACCAAAGAACCTGAAATCCCCTCCCTTAAGGAGTGGATTAATAACTTGCAAGCCATGTGGGCGGTGGTAAGATTATCTTTACAGGAAGCTAGAGCAGTTTTTAAAGCTCAAGTGGACAAAAAACGCTGTGATCCTAAACCTTTCAAGATTGGGGACCGTGTACATTTGTCCACAAAATTCTTAAAATCATTACAACCCTCAAAGAAACTGGGGCCAAAATTCTTTGGACCATTCCCCATCTCCAGAATTATTAACCCTGTGACGGTAGAGCTTCTACTTCCCAAAACACTTAGGCAGATTCATCCAGTATTTCACTGTAGCTTGCTCAAACCAGAGATCACTTCAAACCTCAGACCCTTCCCTTCCCACACCTCCAACTCCCATCATGGTAAATGGGGAACAACATTTTGAAATTAAAGATATCCTTGATTCGCACACTCGCCATGGATCAACACAATATTTAGTAGCTTGGAAACACCTTTCTTCCTCAGAAAATGAGTGGGTAGCCAAACGTCACGTCAAAGCGCCCACATTACTAAGAAAGCTCCACCTAAAATACCCTGATAAACCATCCTGAATTGCAAATGTAATGCATGATTTTTGTTTTTTCCAGGTAGATCTATCTGCTTTTTAAGGAGGGCAGGATGTCAGATCTGTGTATCTGTCATTTCTTCAATGAAAGAAGAAAGGTGTGTGTGGGGGGAACTGATAAAGAAATCCTTGTTGATGTAACCTGAATATATTTAATCTTATATCGAATTTGTATAACCTACACATGATACAATGGAGGGACGAAAACCAGATGCCCAGAAATCTATCACTTCTGGAAGAGACAGCCAGGGGATGAAGAAACCATAAAAATTCCACAGTGAGATGTGCCCTGGGAACCTCTGAAAAAGATCATTCTAAAAAGGGGGTGTGGGAATTAAGATGTTGGCTCTTTGTTTTACTAAATACACATCAAGATAAGGGGAGGGGTTTTAAACTCCCTTATCTATCTCTGCATGCCTGAGAGACCTTAGATGCTGCTTTTAATCCCTACATGAATTGTCTCATCTCAATAACGGATTCCTTTTGATACGTTTGGTTTTCAGAAGTTCATTCTTGTTAATTGGATGGGAAAAGTTTTGTTGCCTAACAACATGCTTCTGTACATTTTATTACTAGAATGAGTTGCTGGTGCTGATTATGCCAGACACCTTTTAAACAGGTAGCGTCAATTTAAATCCACCATTACATATATTGAAGATTTCTTCTTTTTTTTCCAAGCAATTTTCTGGATTTCAATTAACTAATTTCTCAATCATGTATTCTTTTCGTAGTCCCAAATTAATGTTTTCCCAATATGGCATTGATCAAAATATTGGTCTTTTTTTTCAGCCAGCTCCTCTATCCATAGCACAATAATTCCTTGATAAGAGCAATGTACTCCTTTATGTTCATGAGCTTACCTTCTTCATCTGGTATCTGGCCTATTAATGAAATAGTCTGAGGTAATTATGAGCTCTACTAGTGTTGACATAAAATTTTTTCTCTTGTTCTGACACCATTCTACAACAGCTTTAAGGTATAGAAAATATACCTGTCACCATTTGCTACTTGAATAATGATAGATAAATTGTAAAGATAATTAAGACAAGATAGCATTAGTAATGGAGACAGTAAATGTCCTTCTCCTATTGTTTCCTGCCAAATCAGGCATGGATTTGTAGAAGTTTCACTCAGAATATACCACTGACCTAGGATAAAAAAAACCTACCCAGTGCCCCTGAAATAAAATTGGGCATCTTTGCAGTAGTTGGGAGGAGAGGGGGGAGGGAGGGAGAGAGAGGGGGGGAGGGAGGGAGGGAGGGAGAGAGAGAGTGAGTAATTGGACACCTACCTCAAACCATTGTCCATGAGACTGCATTTTCAGTATGACACAGGGATCTGGTTTAGAGAGGGCATCTCTGTCAGATATGCCTTTGCATGCCACTCTCAATTCTACCTTGGTCAGGCAGGGGCTGCTAAAGATTCCCAGAGTATTGGCTGCTGATTCATAGATGTTACTCATTTTTTTCATTATCTGTAAGTGGTAAAAAAAATCAGTTTAAAACAATACTACATTTTATGATTCCTATGAAAATTGTTCCTTTAATTAATTCTCTAAGAAGAGGTGATTATCAATGTTCTAATAGCTCACACAATATGGTGACTTGGAAAAAGAGTCATCACAGAAATTTCTTTCAACAGTATCACATATTGACATTCCAGATATATCATACAGAGAATAAACTAGCCACTTCCCCAACTAATGTGCTTTGAGTAAAAACATCATTATTTTCTAGATTGTGTTGTTGGGAATTATGGGTGTTTTGTTCAATTATGGGTACCTTTCTGGAAGATGGTAGATTGAGCAAAAACTGATTTGTAAAATTTAGATAAGATTTTTAAAACACTGATATATGTCAAAAGGTCTTGCCAAAATCTCAAATCTTTCGAGATACAAATAAGAAACTAACATAAAATTTTGAATCCTGCATTTTAAATTAATCTGTGCTGTCATTTTCTGTTGTGAATATGTTAAAAGTAGTTATATGAGCACTTCATTATGATTTTTAATAAATTTAGCTTGTTTTTTTCTAATTACTGTTTCAAGTTCATATTAAGGCAAAAAAGGTTTTTAAGACTTATTGCAAAGTGGCATTTCAAGTAACTTGTTTCTTATAAACCGTGAGGCCCAGCTCCCGGTCTGTGGACTGGCAACCAGTCTGCAGCATGCCAGCAACTGGTCCATGCAAACAAGCAAAGCCCCATCTGAGGGATGCAAGCAGCACACAAAACCACACACACCCCGGTCCACAAAAAAACCTTTCTCCATGGAACTGGTCCCTGCTGCCCAAAAGGTTGGGAGCCACTGCTGTAAAAAGATATATTGCTGATAAAATGCAGGAACTATGGTTTTTAAACAGCGAGAGTAGCATTTCCCATAGGAATTAAAAGCTGATTCTCTTCAATCTTGCATTTTAAACAAATTGAGGATACTAATTTGTGAGCATCATTTGATTTACTTCTAAAGCTCCTGGCCAATTCTTCCAAAAAGCGTTGTCTGTATATATAAGAAGTTCATGGTAAGGAATTAGCTGAGAGAATAGATGTGTACGTGTGTGTGCGTGCGCGCGCACGCGCACACACACACGCACACGTTTGACCTGAACGTCTTGTTTGTATTGTTGCAGCCCTCCTTCTTCTCTTTGGTCACACAGTCTCTCCAGTAGACTATGGTAAATCATTGAGTCACCCCATTTCTTAATTAGCTACTCCTATCATGCCACTTTTCAGAATTTCACAATAGTTTCTGTTTTTTCTAGTACTGCTTTGCAATTTTTAAAATGTTTTCTAACCCCAAAAATAAGGTTCTTGTAAGCAATGGACTTTTTCCCCTTCAACCGAAAAAGAATGAACTTCTGAAAGCTAGGCACTTCAAAAGCAATTCTTTTTGGAAAGGAAATGATTCCAATACTAGTCAAAGCAGAATCTAAGATGCTTCCAGGCATACAGTAACAGATAAAGGGAGTTAGAACCCCTCCCCTTATTTAGATGTGGATTTAGTCAAACAAAGAACCAACATGTTAATTCCCCATTCCCCTTTTCTGGGAATGTATCTCAGAAGAGTTTCCCAGGGATTATCTTCCAGAGCTGGAATTTTTGCTCTCTCTCCAAGAGGTGACAAGTTTCTAGCCATCTGGCTCCAGTCCTCTAGTTGTATCATGTGAAAGTTATACAGATTCAATATAAGATTTAATATATTCAGGTTACATCAAAAAGGATTACTTGTACCAACTTTCCCCCCTTCTTCTTCCATTGAAGAATGGCAGATACACGGATCTGACAGTTCTATATCTAATTCTTAGGGAGTTTCAGAAATTCTAAACAATTTATCTTGGTGATGTTTTGAGTTTATTTTTTAAAAAATTGAAACTAGTACACTACAGGATGATACTGTTGGTGTTATTTTCTATTAAGCAAATATGAAACATTCATTCCTTTGTGACTGAATAAGTGAAAAATCACATGCCATCCATAAAAATGTTACCAAATTCTTTCCTCCCATAACATAATTTTTAAAGAGCATCTTTTTTACTGTTTCAAAATGAGTAATGGGAAAAATAGCAGGAACAAATACAACAATTATGGGAAATATACAGGGATGGGATTCTACCTGTTCGGACCAGTTATATATAACTGGTTGTTACAATTCTGCGCAGTTTGGAGAACTGGCAAATTGTGCCAGTGGCTGGCCTCGAACCTCCCCACCCACCAAGCCACTCCTTATCTCACATGCGTGCCATACAGCTTGCCTGCATTGTGCCTTTGCCTAATTTTTGGTAAGTTGCTATTTTTCCTTTTCCCCCCCAACAATCAGCTGTTCTGACATCAGCTGTGTGAGGCAATTTAGATTAGCTAGAAAGCAGGATATCGTTGGGTTTCTTCCTTTCTAGCTAATCTAAATAACTGTTGTACTGCTTTGCCTTCATCCAGGAGGCTTCCCTGAGGCCCAGTCAAGGGTGGTATTCAGGGGGTTGAAGTTTCTATTTTTCAGTGCAGATTCAGGCAGCAGATTGCAGAAAGATATATTTGTGAATGAATCTGTGATTCTGCAAGCAACTCAATCTGCCTGCCTGCTTTGCCTGATTTTGGGTAAAAGTTGCTCTTTAAAAAAAATAAATCAATATTTACATAAATATTTACAATCTTTACATACAAGCCATGCCCAGCAAATTAAGCCCAGTCACGTGACCACCAAGCCATGCCCACAAATTAAGCCACATTCACAGAACCGGTTAAGACATTTGAATCCCACCCCTGGAAATATATGTTACATGCTCTTCAAATCATCTCTAAGTATCGCAAACCTAAAGAGGCTTAATTTACCTCTTTTATTTTTTTCAATAAATGGGAAAAAATACTCTATCTCATTGCATCATAGCCACATTTCCTGTAGTTTTTGGGAGCTGCTACACCTCAAAACTAAAAAAACTAAACGAAGAATATGCCTCTTCATTATAAACAGGTACCCAATTCTGAAAGGATACTTTCACATAAGAAAAGTTTTCAAGTAGAATGTTTTCAGTAAGATAAAACATACATCTGCACTATTTGAAGAACCACTAGTTAGATAAGACTATTGTATTATCTGGTCCAATGATTTCTGGTCAGCTAGAAGCCCATGGGAACCTATAAAAAGCCATGCGGTTCTTGAATCTTCAGGTTGCTGAATAGCTCTGGGATTACAGTATTATTATAGTTATATAAAACTCATGCATTTGAAAAAAAAAAACAAAGCTGAGAAAGAAAGAACTGAGACTCTTTTTCAAGGACATTGCTATTTTATAAGATAGAGGGAAGAGCAAGAGAGAGTATTATTGCAGGAGCTCTTCTGGGTTTCTATCAACAGCTGGAGTCTGGTGTTGAAATGTAGGGGGGGAAAAGGTGATAAGTTTTTTGGAGAAGAGAGTTATAATAAGAGCCTTGGATAATTAAACAAAGTGCAGTGTGCCCTTTTTACTTTTCCTAAGTTGTGCTATCCCTCCTCACCAAATTTATTGTATTTTTTTAATCTTTTTTTTTTGTAATAACTATTTGGGTTTTTGACTTTGTTGGAGCTTGTCTTTGTTTTTCTTTGTTTTTCTTTTTTCTTTTGGAAGTCCAATCTCTATGTTTACTTTTTATTTTAAAGGGAAAGCCTTAAAAGCCTTTTTTTCCCCTTTCCTGGTATTTTTGTTTTTTCATCTACCTTTCTGGTTTATTCTTATACACTTTTTTCTATTTGAGACCTTTCAATTGGATTAAGGTGTTGAAGAACCTGAAGAATTTTTCCTTTTTCTTTTTTTTCTTTTTTTTAAGCTCTTTTTCTTTATCCTACTATTGATTGGATTAAGGTATACAAGAACCTGAAGAAATTTTGTCCTCCCTTTATTATTATTATTATTATTGGGCTTCTTTTTTCTACTATTTTTATTTTGAATTATAATTGGTTACTTCATAATTGGATTAAGGTTTAGAAGAACCTGAAGATTTTGAATTGCTTAAAATGAGTAGGAAATTTACAGCTCCTGGTTCTTCAACTTCTACTTCTTCCTCTCCACCATTTGGAGGACAACGTTCAATACAGACAATGTTAAAGCAAGAAAAAGAACAAGAAAAAGTGACTTTGCAGATGATTATGCAAGGAATTCAAAATATTCAAGCAAGATCAGAGAATATTGAAAAGAGAATAGAGAATATCGAACAAAGAAGAGAGAACATTGAACAAAGAACTGAGAACATTGAACAAAGAACAGGGAAAACTGATGAAAAAGTGGAGAACATCCAACAAATGATGTTGAAGTATGATGAGAGATTCCAAAAGATTAAAGAAGGAGATAAACAAAGAGACAAGAAGATTGGAGATATTGATAATAGATTAACGGTGGTTGAACAAGATAAAAGTGGTATGTTGAGATGGGAGATGGATAGATCAGAATTCTATCTTAGATTTCAAAACGTAGAGGAAGAAAAAGGACAAAACCTAGCTGAGATAATGATAGAAATACTGGCTGAAGCTTTGGAAATAAATGAAGAGAAGATGATGGATGGAATAGATGAGGTTTATCGAGTTTTCACAAGATATGCTATGAGAAATAGCTTACCAAGAGAAGTTCACATTAGATTTACAAAGAAAGCCATTAAACGCAAATATTGCAAGTGGCAAAAGAGAAAACATTGAAATACAAAGACAAGGAGATTGTGGTCTTGAAACAAATACCCAGAAGAGTGAGAGAGATGAGAAGAGAATACCGATTCCTGACTAAAATGCTACTTAAAAAAGAGGTGAATTATAGATGGCTGATTCCAGAAGGTTTAATGTTCACATGGCAAGAACAGAGACACAGAATTGACTCAATTGAGAAAGTGGAATTATTTTATACAGAATTATACAGGAAAGAGGAAGAGGCAGAAAAAGAGATCTCATTAATTGAATTTCCAAGAGGACTTCCAAATGGCGACTGAAAAAGAAGAAGGTGCAGTAGGTGGAAAGGTGGA